ATCACCCACGGATTGAGGTTCTGGGTTTGAGCCTGCCACTTTTGGACTCTTGCTTGCTGAGGTGTTCCAGCGTGTCTCTCTGTAGATCTTAGAAAACTATTTCTAGATTTAAGTCGTTGACATGCTGGCTGATACCAGCATTGAGATGAAAATAAAAAAAAAATCCAATTCAATAGTAAACATAGTAAACTAAAACATGAGCAACACATTACAACATATACCCTAAAAGCAGTTAAAATGGCTAACACCAGTATTCATTTAAGATGTATCGTAGCAGCCATAAAATACAATTGGGTTAGCCAGCGTACCAATGGGCTAAAATGGTTCTCCTCCTCAAGGTTTTCCCACAGTTTTGTGACCATTTCCCAGTAGTCTTCCCATCCTCCAGTTCTAGAAATGAGAGTGACATGAGTGTGGTGCAAATTTGGAGAAGGCAACCATGTCCCTTCTCAGAGAGGCGCTGTGAAGGAGCCGAAGAAGCTCTTCCTCGAGCTACATCATTTGTTTCCAAGATACTTTTCCATGGCTGTTGACTCCTGCACCACCTTCTCAATTGTAAACTTTTGTGCCTGGCTAGCTAGGCGTGATTTTTGCCTCCGCACACATTTGATTAGTTTAAGCAGTTGCATCAAGGGAGATTACTCTGAAAACGAGGAAGGGTTTAGAGGGGAAAGCATCTGATTGGACTCCTTCCTTGGGTGAGGGAGGAAAAGAGAAGTGCGATCGCTGATTGCTTGCTTTGCTGATTGCTCGCTATCAAATTGCACCTGAAAAAAGAGTAAATACGTTGGGGGGAAACCAGAGATGGCCACAGAGCGGCATGCCTCTGCTGTGAATAATGAGAAGACATTGAAAAGGATATTGTATTCATTGCAACCAGCAAGAGTGATTGGTGTGTTCCGCACAAATACCTCCAAAGCACCCACAGGCAGTGAAGCGGTCACAATCAGGCTTTTCCGCGGTCGTGTTTTAAAAGGTGAATTAAAGTAACCGAGATTGAAAGGGAGGAGAGGGAGTTGCTTCCTCGCGTATTTATGTCACATGCTGGCAAAGGACTGAGAGGTCCTGAGGGAATTGGCAAAGGCTCAACCGCGTGCAACTGCAAAAGGTCTCACTAGAGCAGTGGTTCTCAACCTTCCCAATGTTATGACCCCTTAATACAGTTCCTCATGTTGTGGTGACCCCCCAACCATAACATTGTTTTCATTGCTAATTCATAACAGTCATTTTACTACTGTTATAAATCTTAATGTAAATATCCGAAATGCAGATGTATTTTCATTCACTGGTCCAAAATGGGCACAAATACCCAATACGCCCAAATGTGAATGCTACTGGGGTTGGGGGAGGATTGATTTTGTAATTTGGGAGTTGTAGTTGCTGGGATTTATAGTTCACCTAGAATCAAAGAGCATTCTGAACTCCACCAACGATGGATTTGAACCCAACTTGGCACACAAAACTCCCAGGACCAATGGAAAACACTGGAAGGGTTTGATTGGCATTGACCTTGAGTTTGGGAGTTGTAGTTCACCTATATCCAGAGAGCACTGTGGACTCACGCAATGATGGATCTGGACCCAACTTGGCATGAATACTCAATATGCCCAAATGTGAACACTGGTGGAGCCAGGGAAAAATAGATCTTGACATTTGGGAGTTGTAGTTGCTGGGATTTATAGTTCACTACAATCAAAGAACATTCTGAACTCCACCAACGATAGAATTGGCTCAAACTGAACTCCACCAATGATAGAATTGGCCTGACCCCCAGGTTGAGAAACACTGCACTAAAGGGTCCGTGGGAAGAGATATCAATGGCATGTTTAATTTGCATGTGACTCCACCCTGGGAGGACAGGGTCAGGAATTGTAACACATTTAATGCATTTCTTTAATCACATGAATTTAATGCATAGACAAAAAAAATTAATACATTGAAATTCAGATTATAGAATCCAAGAGTTGGAAGAGACCCCCTGGGCCATCCAGTCCAACCCCATTCTGCCAAGAAGCAGGAATATTGCATTCAAATCACCCCTGACAGATGGCCATCCAGCCCCTGTTTCAAAGCTTCCAAAGAAGGAGCCTCCACCACACTCCCTCCGGGGCAGAGAGTTCCACTGCTGAACGGCTCTCACAGTCAGGAAGTTCTTCCTCATGTTCAGATGGAATCTCCTCTCTTGTAGTTTGAAGTCATGGCTCCATTGCGTCCTAGTCTCCAGGGAAGCAGAAAGGAAGCTTGCTCCCTCCTCCCTATGACTTCCTCTCACATATTTATACATGGCTATCATGTCTCCTCTCAGCCTTCTCTTCTTCAGGCTAAACATGCCCAGCTCCTTAAGCCGCTCCTCATAGGGCTTGTTCTCCATACCCTTGATCCTTTGAGTCGCCCTCCTCTGGACACATTCCAGCTTAGAGTCAATATCTCTCTTGAATTGTGGTGCCCAGAATTGGACACGATATTCCAGGTAAAGTGGTCTAACCAAAGCAGAATAGAGCATGGGGAGCAGGACTTCCCTGGACCTAGACACTAGGCTCCTCTTGATGCAGGCCAAAATCCCATTGGCT